TTTAAAATTAACATTAAAGTTAATATGAAAATTAATAAGTAATTATATGGTTTTTCTTATTTTAAGAATGTGACTACTAATGTATTTATTTAAAGAATAGTATAGATTTATTTTATAAAAATGGTAATAAACACTACAAATTTCTAACAAGAAAAATTGATATAAGAACATTAATTTTCCAAGGCTAAAAATAATTTACACACATGCAAGACTGTCAAGAGTTTTCTATTCAGGGTGTCTCCAATTATAAAACAAACAACTCGTTTCTGAAACCATGGAGTTAAACAGTAAAATCACTAGATCTCGAGGATTCCTTTAATATTGATTCCTTATTGTTTTTGTAGCACAAATTTATTTAAAATATTTATAACAAGAGCTTTTATATGGATTAGAAAACTTTCGAACTTTATTCCTTTCTATTTATATGGATGATGCTTCTTAGATTTGACATCCATATTTCTTTCTTTCCAAGTGCTTTTTCTCAATTTTATTGGTCTATTTCCAACATATTTTCCTAGGTAAAAAAGCAAACGGATAATCAAGATTGTTTTAGTATTTTTTCATAGGTTCTTTGACAAAAGGTTACATTAATAACATACCATTCATTTCTTTCCACGCTTTGACGAATTCATCTGCATCTTTGAAGCTGACAAACCCATACCCTTTACTTTTACCTGTACGTTTATCGCGCACGACTTTTGCTTTTTGTATTGATGAGTATCGACTGAATGCTTTATACAGAACTTCATCAGTAACTTCATTTCCAAGGTCACCGCAAAATAAACGAAAATCATCTAAAAAATAATAAAATTCAAATTAACACATCACAAGTTTTTGTCGTTTATTTATGTCAAAATCATTAAATTAAACCATACTCAAATCCCATTCCAACAATGTCGGATCCTCCCAAACTTCTCCTCCAGCAGCCCTAATAATTGTCTTTTGTTTCTTTTTAGAATTCTGTTGTTTATTGAGATTTCCAATTAGCATTTCAGTGGATACTCCCAACATCTCATCTTTCAATGGTCCATGAGAAATAGATGTAATTCCTCTTTCTTGTTGATGTGTACTTCCAGTTTTATTAGAACTTGTAGCAGCGGCAGATATAGAAACAGAAGGGCTTATTATGGACGGCGGAGCTTCAACTACGGTTGCAGTTGATGCTGTTGACACGGAGTTCGTGGACGTTGTGGGATAATAATAACTATTGGCGCTATATGTAGAGTAGTCATAGCCTTCATACGTGGCAGCATTGGCGCTATTTGAATATTGATTGGTAGAAGGGTACGAGTAATCGTAACCATAGTACGCTTGGGATTGTTCGGTCGTATTTAAGGGATCATATGAATATGAGGTGTGTGAATGGTTCGATCCTGACATGATCTTTCTTAATTATAACAGGTTTAATAAATTAATCACTTTATGTTGAATAGCGAAAGTTTTAGCGATTAGTTAGAGTTCTATACATGTAAATCATGAATTACAGAATTACCATCTATTATTATAACCAATCGCGAATTAGATTATTAAATCCACTATTATATTTTTTGGTTCAAATTTAATAATTGAACTTGGTTTGATTTTTGTAATTTTTTATAAAATTTTCTTTTTTCAAAGTATTCCTTAGACTATAAGGAAATCAATCTTTATAAAATAAACAATTTTTATTTCTTATAAAGAAAAGTTTATAATATTTTAATAGATAACTTAAACTAAAAAAAAACAAAAAAAACTTTTTCCCATTTCCTTCAAATTTTTGAAAAAAATTTTTTTTTAGAAAACTTTAATTTAATGAGACAAGTTTTGGGTCTTATCATGTTATTCTTTTCTTCAAAAAAACTTTTTTCCTTCCTTTATTACTACCAAAGATAAAAATTTTCTTTTAAAAAAGATGTCTAGTTGTTTTTTTTTGCTATAGTCTAAAAGATTTAGGTTGAATAGTTTCAAGTGTTATGGGTAGAATGGTCAAATATTAGGTTTATAATTTGTTATACAACTATCTAAACAATATAATAGTTTTAAACTTTCTTTTCCAATATAATTTAGATAAATAGATTGTTGATAACCTAATATTTAACTTATGTATTACATATAAGAAATATAAATTTTTTCTTACAATTATATTTTAGTATATATATAATAAAGAACTAATACTTATTACCATATATCACTGCATACAATACCCCCCCAAATACTACCCCCCACTAATAATACCAGGTAGTATTCAAGAAAATTGTTGCTTGATA